GGTGCTGGTTTTTCTCCTGCTTCCTGGCTGCTCTTGCTGTGTTGTGGTCCATAGTCAGGTTTTAGTTCCTGAAGTTGGAAGGTTACTATGCCCTTTTTTTTTTTTTTTTAAAGATTTTATTCTCCCCAAAGCACCCCCCCCCCCACTCCCCCTGCCGGCCGCCCCCCCCCCCCCACACACATAGCTGTGTATCTTCAGTTGTGGGTCCTTCCAGTTGTGGCATGTGGGATGCCACCTCAGCATGGCTTGATGAGCAGTACCATGTCTGCGCCCAGGATCCGAACTGGTGAAACCCTGGGCCACTGAAGCGGAGTGCGTGAACTTAACCACTTGGCCACTGGGCCGGCCCCTACTATGCTCCTTGATCTTGAGAATCAGCCAACTCTTGTGCGGGTAGTAATTTCCAGGCTGAACTTGCCTCTCACCAGCCAACCAATGCCCTTCCAATGCTGTAGTTACCAGTGAGGAAACCTTTGTAATTGAGTGTTCACTCCCATATTTTGTAACTGATTGCATTTAAAACAATTTCCCTAATATTTTATGGCGAACATACTCAAGCAGTTGAAAGCACTGTACAGTGAATAACCACGTACCCTCAGGTCCATCCTCCAGTTAATAGTTTATCTTTGTTATGTATGTAGCACAGCTGATTGGATTTTGATGTTAAGTTGGAAGAATTACAAGAAAATAATAACCATATAGTTTTTCTCCCCGTAATTTGTAATTCTTTTAAAAAGTGCTGGGAATCGGTTTGAGAAAAATACATATTGATGTTCTAAATGCGAAATCTGGTTATAGTCTGTTCTGCATTCCTAACTGCTAGCATCTAGAGCTTTTGTTTCTTCTTTTGAGGAAGATTAACCCTGAGCTAACATCTGTGCCCATCTTCTTCTACTCTTTATACGCCTGCCGCAGCATGACTTAGGTTGCATAGGTCTGCATCCAGGATCCGAACTGGTGAACCCCGGGCCGCTGAAGCAGAACGTGTGAACTGAACTGCCGCGCCACTGGGCTGGCCCTATCTGGAGCTTTTATTAATGTATTTAAGGTTATACATTGCTTTCCAAAGTTCATTTTGGTCAGTTGGTGAAGTTGATACGTAGTTCAGGTTCATCTAAATACTTCTTGGTTTCCTTTATGATTTCTGTGACCCAAGGGCTGTCTTAAAAACAAGAGTTTTCTTTCCACAGTTGTTTCTTTGTGGTTTTGTGATAGTTTTCTATTTTGATTCCATTGCTTTTGTAAGTGTTCCAGAACTTAGGTGTTTAAGTATGCTTGACCTTGTGTGCATGTGCTTGGTAAGAACATGAATTTTCTTAATTGTTACCTGCAGGGCCCTATTTTACGTTCCATTACACCAAGTTTCTTAAATGTGCTCAAATCTGGCAAACTTAATTTTCAGTCTGCTTAATGATATGATTGTGAATGTATCTTTTAAAAAAATGTTTTTATTTATAAAAACATAAACAACAAAACTTTTAACGTGTAACATATATACAAACTTTTAAAAAGCTTTTTATGGGGCCTGGCCCCGTGGCTGAGTGGTTAAGTTCGTGAGCTCCGCTGCACTGCAGCGGCCCAGGGTTTCGCTGGTTCGGATGCTGGGCGCGGACATGGCACCAGTCATCAGGCACGTTGAGGTGGCATCCCACGTGCCACAACTGGAAGGACCCACAACTAAAATGTACAACTATGTACTGAGGGGGTTTTGGGAGAAAAAGCAGAAAGAAAAAAAAATAGATTGGCAATAGTTGTTAGCTCAGGTGCCAATCTTTAAAAAGCTTTTATGTATAACTTTCGATATAACTTACGTTTTTACGTAACATAACATGTACCCTGGAGTACAGTTCAGTGGCATTAAGTACATTTACATTGTTGTGTGTCCACCACCACCATCCATCACAGAAAATTTTTATCCTCCCACATCGAAATTCTGTACCCATTAAACAGTAACTCCCCGTTACCTCCCACCCCTGGCATCCTCAGTGTTTCCTTTTTACCTTGTAATACTGTTTCTGATTTGGATGTTTTTGAGGCCATGTTGCATTCAGAATTCCATATTTTATCCTTGTGAAGTCATTGTTCATGATAATGCTCGTATTCCTTTGTACTCTTCCTGAGGGTCATGTTGCTGCACAAGCTTTCTTTTTTTTTGTGAGGAAGATTGGCCCTGAGCTAACATCTGTTGCCAATCCTCCTCTTTTTACTTGAGGAAGATTGTCATGGAGCTGACATCTGTGCCAATCTTCTTCCTCTATGTGGGATGCCACCACAGCATGGCTTGATGAGCCGTGCTGGGTGTGCACCCAGGATCTGAACCTGTGAACCCTGGGCTGCCGTAGTGGAACTGGTGAATTTAACCACTACACCACTCGGCTGGCCCCTACACAAGCTTTCTTATGTTTACTTTGTACGTGTTTCCTGTCCCATGAATTTGAATTTTTCTGTCTCTTAGTAACAGTGTAGCTTTTTTAAAAAGTCAATTTTAATGAAATTAAGGTGCATGATATACACCTTAAACTTAGACAATGTTCTATGTCAAGTTGTATGATAAAGCTGGAAAAGTAAAACATTCAGTTTTAGAATATCTTTGATCTTAATTCATTTACATCGCATTTACAGTTATTGTGTTTACTGAAGTATTTGAGTTAAATGAATGGTTGTAGAATACTTAGAATTGTGCCTGCTGTGTTTTACTGAAATTAAAATGTTTTTACATCTCCTGTTTTATGCTTTTTCATAAAAGGATCCCTGTGCTCCCCTCTCATCTGATAAGGTTATGTTTTGTTTTTTAAATTTTATTTTTTTAAGTTGAGATACAATTGATTTTAGACATTTATACTTTTATATATTGCAGTGTTGATTTGAGACATTTATATGTTGCAGTATGATTGCCACCACGTTAGCTAACACCTCTATCACATCACATAATTATTATTTCTTTTCTGTGGTGAGAACATTTAGATCTAGTCCCTTAGCTCTGAAGTATATAATGCATCATCGTTGACTGTAATCACCATGCTGTGCTTTAAAGATTAATTTTTCCTTTTTCTCCCCAAAGCCCCCCGGTACATTGTTGTGTCTTTTTAGTTGTGGGTCCTTCTAGTTGTGGCATGTGGGATGCTACCTCAGCACGGCTTGATGCATGGTGGTATGTCCACGCCCAGGGTTCCAACCGGCAAAACCCTGGGCCACTGAAGCGGAGAGTGATACTGTGGGAAAATTTTTTAGTATTCACAGCCCTGAAAGTAACCTGCCAGATCATAGCAAATAACACATAAAACCTAAAATAACACTAACATAGAGTAAAAGCAGGAATGACATGGTAAATACACAGACTAAATAAAGTAGAAATAATGTCTGTACTGTGTAGTTTCACTTACCAGAACCAGGAAGACAGCGAGCACACTGGAAGGCTGAGAGGCGGTGGTGATGGTGGTGTGTTAGTTAGTGTGAGTCATTGGAGGCTGGCGTGGTGGGAGACTGGGGTGTGTGTACGATAGAGAGAAAGAGGTTCATCTGTTAACATGATTCGTCATCATCATCTGAATCCATCAGGGCAGTCAGGTCGGTAACGTGTAGACCTTCTGTGTCTGCCCGCCTTGGTTCAGTGGCTGATGTGAAGGCTCGAAATACAATAGTATGCTGAATGCTGTTGTCGCAAAAATGAAAATGCTCTTTGGATTTCTTTCTGTTAATGAAAACATGTACTAACGCAGATCTTTTGTAAAAGCCAGGTGATGTAAAGCACACTTTTGGATAACACATGAAACTTAGAGATAGTTTTTGTTTTAATCATGGGTTGTTGCCAACGTTGGAAAGTAGAAATACAGTACAACTGCATCTTGTTTTGAGAAATGGAATAATTCCTAGTTGTGGCATTATTTAACCATAGCATTTTCAGCCTCAGCAACATGGCCTTAGAAAAGTTAATGATCTCATTTATTCATTTACAATCAGAGTATTTTGAAAATATGCTACTAGGGTTTCTAGGAATGCTCTGGAAAACCTGGCTTCAGTTTTGGGCAAAGTGGCTTGACAGAAGAACTTGCTTTATTGGGTGAAGTTATTTTGTACTGTTGTGGGGAGTAGACCTGCTTTTTGTAAGTTTTTGGTCACTGGTTTGATGAAATGATTTAGCTAGTCAAATTTAAAGAATTCATTAGATCTCACATCTTAAAGAAGCAGCGCATGTGTGTAGTTCCTGTTTGGTTTGTAGGACCCGAGGCTAAGTCCCATTAGAGGGGGTAGAAGAAGGGAGTTTCATTGTCCTGCCCTGTTAAGTGACCTGAATAACCTGCTGCAGGTGAAGCAAATCTCTGCTGCTGGTTTTCCACCGGAGGCGTGATATCTAGGGATACCTTCTAATTAGTATTGATGACAGGGCAATAATATGTTGTTTTGGTAGATGGACAGGAGTTTGAAGCCAGAGGGTAAAGTTACACTAATAGCCCTGTGGTCAAAGACATTTCCTTTTTCTCTCCCAGGGGATGTGTGCGAGGACATTGGCTAGTCCCTAGCAAGAGCTGCAGAACTGTGGAAGGTGTCTTTGTGAGGTTTCCCTGTTGTGTTTGCCAGGGCAGGGACACTGTGTTCATCCTGGTGGCCCCGCAGTCTTGCTCAATGCCTGGCACAGGAATGCACCGAAGGAGGGAGGTAACAGAAGCTCCCTGAGCACAGCCCGTGTCAGGAAAACAAGATCCTCACAAAGGGCCTGTCAGCTGGTGGTCAAGTGGGCACCGAGTCTCTGCCTCAGAGTCACCTGTTACTTTTATTTAGTTTAGGCTATTATTAGGCTATTTCAGAGCTTTTTTCCTATGTCGAGAAGGGTCTTAGGGCATGAGTCTTGGAATCAGTTCTCAGACAAGGCCCCAGCCCGACAGGCAGTGGTTAGTGCTGGGGTGAGGTGACTGCCTCCCTCCCTCTCCTGCTCTGTTCCCACCCCCATGAGGAGCTCAACCTTGGCAGTCTTGTAATTGACCACGGATTTCTATTTGCAGGACTTGTTCCAACAGCCTGTTAAAACATGGTGGATTACTATGAAGTTCTAGGCGTGCAGAGACATGCCTCAGCCGAGGATATTAAAAAGGCGTAAGTAATTGTATTTCTGAAATAATAAATCTGTGCAGTTGAACACTGACAATTGAGTAGTATAACTTTATATATTATTGCCTATTAAAATAGTGTTTAATGTAGTATAACAGTCTTTGAATGCTGCAGTTTAATTTTAGCTTTAAACAGAGCAGGTAACAAATTAGCTTTTGCTTTCTCAGACCTGGGCCCAGCCCATAACTTATCATTTGGGAATGAGAAGGTCACCTGGTTTCCTCTGTTACTTTGCCTTGGGACAATGGATTCCATTTCTGCTGAAGTAGATCAAAAACTTACTGAGGATGTGAGATAATCCCAAAGAACTTTGACGTTGGGCTTTGAAATGGAGTTGACATGGCATTCTTAGAGTATGGTGCCATAACATTCTTGGTATGGTTGCTTGAAAATCCCCATTGTACGGTCGCAGCTTGCACTATTAGAACCCATTCTGGCCCACGTTGAAGTCTGTCCTACTTGCACCTTGTGACCAGGGCCTGACCCATGTGAGGTGTCGGTCTTAGGTCATGGGTGGCTCTCAAGGTGAACTGGATCTACTTGATTCATTTGACATTAACGTATAGCAAAAAATGTCATTAAATAGGTTTGATAGATTTTTAGCATAGTCAGACTAAGTAAACCTGGAACGATTGGAAGTTAGGTTTCAGTTTGTGTTGTAGGAACCAACTTTTTGATTAATGCATAATGAAGCCTATGCTACTAGACTTAGTAGGTCTGCAGATGGAAATTAAGGATTGTTGAACCAAATAATTCATTTAAAAGTGCCAAACAACATAGCAGGTTGACTGCTATGTTGGGCATAACTGAAGCTACTTGCAGAACATCCCTGTGTCAGATCTTGGCCAAGAAACTGAGTAGGAGCAGCCCGTTCAGGTGAGAGCAGGCAGGCCGAGAAAGTGCCTCAGAGGAAGTGCTCAGAGCTGTCACCAGTGGGCTGTGGGATTCCTCACACCCGGTCACAGTTCACAGCCCGTAATTGCTTGGTGCAGTTGGAAACACTGTACTGTTCTTGAACAAACATAATATGTGCACAGTACTTCTATTACCTGATGGAAAAACATGCCTTCGTTACGCTAGACACAATTAGAAAGTAGACTGGCTTTAGTTACTTGTGGGAACATGGTTGAGCACTTATCTCCAGGATGACTTTGAAGTGTGAATTTAGAAAGTGTTATCACCTTATAAAGGAACAAGATTTTCCTACTGAGTGTGTGGTTGAATAAATATTGAGTCAGACCAGATTCAGCCTTTTTTTTTTTTTGAGGAAGATTAGCCCTGAGCTAACATCTGCCTCCAATCCTCCTCTTTTTGCCGAGGAAGACTGGCCCTGACCTAACATCCGTGCCCATCTTCCTCTCCTTTATATGTGGGACACCTACCACAGCCTGGCTTGCCAAGTGGTGCCATGTCCGCACCCGGGATCCGAACTGGTGAACCTCAGGCCGCCAAAGCGGAACGTGCGAACTTAACTGCTGCACCACTGGGCCGGCCCCAGCCCTGTTGGTTTTTAATGAGTAAAATGGCAGCTGTGGGTGGTGCATGTTCCTACAACAGTCCATCTTGTGGACTCCAGGCTTTGTTCATGTGCAACCAGAAAAACTTTTGTTTGAAGACTAACAGTGTGTGGCTGTCACCTCCCTCCCCATTTCTGAGAAACCTACAGTCTTACTGTGTTTGCATCACAGGCCATCTGAGTGATTCCCTTCCCTCCACGTTGCTAATGTACTAGGGTGTAAAGCCAAACTGTAGTCTGAGGGTCAACACTGAAAGACATTCTAGGCTCCTTACACTTAGTGTATTTTACTGTTATATTATGCTTTGAATATAAAAAATTTTAGTAGTCTTTCACAGGCATATACAGTTAACTTTTCCTGGATTCTCACCCGTTTCTTTGTTTTCACATGAGCATCCTACAGTCACGCATCACTTTATGAGGGGTATGTGTTCTGATAAGTGTGTCATTAGGTGATTTTGTCGTTGTGTGAACAGCAAGAGTATACAGAAGGGAAACAAAATTTGCCACCCCGAAATGTGACTCTTTAACATGAGGATTGTTTTGTTTTAGGCTGGTGATTTGTAAGAAACAGACTCAGTTACTTCTTCCTTAGAAGCGTAAAAGAATTCAGATTAAAACACCTGTCTCAGGAAGTGAGCTGTCACCTTAGCATCACTTAAACCAGGTGGTAGACAGAGAGGCGCCTAGAAAAGCCTGTTTGTTGGCTTCTCTCTGTGTTCTTCTGTTTCTGTGTGGCCAAGCAGTTTTCTGAATGTGTGCTCCTTTTCACCTACCTGTGAATTCCTTCCTTCCCTTCGAAGTCCCTGACCCTCCCCACACCCAACATCTTCTTTTGTCTTTAGCTGAGGATGGTATTTGAGGTGAAGGCTTTGGCCGTTTTGAGGAGTTACTCGGTTTTCCTGGGTTTCTCCTCTTTATACATGTTATTAAACTTTTGTTTGTTTTTCTCCTGTTAATCTGTCTCATGTCAGTTGAATTCGTAGACCAGCCGGAAGAACCTAGAAAGGCAGAGGAACATTTCTTCCTTTCCTACAGTACTTACACAAACCTACATGGTATAGCCTACTACACACCTAGGCTGGATTGGAACTAATCTTATGGGACCACTGTGGTATATGCCGTCCATTGTTGATCAGAACATCGTCATGTGGCACAAGACTAGTGCAAACCAGTTGTTGTTTCTCGTTAGTCTTTGATGTGGTGTGTCATTTTTTATGGAGGGTTTGTAGCACTACAGGGCTTTTGGTCTGCCACTGCATGTTTAGGTCCACAGCGATATAAGAAGAAAGTACCGTTTCAGCATTATAGAGTTCAGCTTTAATCAGATTTTGATAAATCAAGGTTTTTGATTGAAATGGTGAAATTAAATTGAACCTCAGCAGCCTTACGTGAATAACTTGCCACATGTTAAAAGGACTGTCAAGTTCTTATTCTAGTCTTAGATTTTGAGGGGCACACCCCCTCCCCTTGTACTGTCCTCCTCCTTAAATGTATGCATCTTACGTTTAGCTACTTAGAAGAAAGGATTTTTTGGTATTTAAAAAGCATGTGATTGTTAGGCTAATTGAAACCTTGGTCACAGAATCTTTAACTGAATCTTGAATCTGGAATAGGGGATGCTTTGTGAAAGATGCTGGGATACTTGACTGCTGTGGTCCATGGCCCACCTTCGCCACACTGATGTGTGAAGTAATGGGCAGGTGGGGCCATGTGGACATAAGGATGAGGGCAGTCATGTTGAATCCTTTCTGCACAGTTACCAAGGCGGCCTGCGTATAGTCCGTTCTCAGCCTTATCACAGTGAGTTCACACTGTGCACACTTTGGTCCTTAAACATTGTAACATTTTTCTTTGTCTGGAGGTTGTCTTGTATTCTGCTATCTGGATTTTAGAAATTGCTTCATTCTTGGGGAAAGGGAGATTTACAGTTGAAACTGATACTAATCGCACTAGTTTGCAGCTCTGAAGCCTCTTTCTTGCTTAGTGATGATTCAAAGGCCATTGGATTTTGGGCTTTGGATGTGATCAAGACCATTTTACTCTTTTCAAGATATCGGAAACTGGCACTGAAGTGGCATCCAGATAAAAATCCTGAGAATAAAGAAGAAGCAGAGAGAAAATTTAAACAAGTAGCTGAAGCATATGAGGTGTTATCAGATGGTGAGTAATGCTCGGTGGGGGTCAGGGCCCTCCCCAGGGCTGGCTGGCAGAGCATGGGTGTGGCTGGCTCAGCTTTGGGGTGCTGGAAACAAAGTTTCTTACTTTCCTTGTGAAGATTGGACTTTCATGTTCCTTCCTGGCAGTTAGCTGTGAGTGCTGTGGAGCACCCCAGTTTCTAGTGACTTCTAGAATGGCTGTTGTGAAACAGTACTGACACCCTCGTCTCAGAACTGACAGGAGAGTCAGATAGGCATCTGTCTGGGTGACCGCATGGTGGTGGTGGCAGCCCCTTTTCTTGGGGTAATGACCTCTCATTCCCATTGCCCTTCTTAAACATACTTACTGATTTTTACTTATGTTTAACACACTTAAACATATGTAGGTATTGATTTTTACTACTTGAAAGGACTTCCTTAGTTTCAGGAAATAAGTAATTGAGCATACAGCTGAGATTTAGACTTAAGAGCTTCTCGGTGTGTTTTCCCACCCCAGGTCTAGAGTATAGGTATTCAGTGTTATTCAAAGTCAGATCCATAGCCTAGTTTCATGAATTATGTGAAAGGTTAGCTGTTAGCCAGATACATACAGTCAGTCAGTTTTTCCTGAAGGTATGGGTCCTGGGATAGGGAGAAGAGTGTGGAGCTGGAAATCTGCTGACACTGTCTTGCCAGGAAGCAGTGCTGGCTGACCTGGTATGAGTCAAGGCAGAGGCATTGAAAAGGCTGGAGACTGATTAACCGACCCCGGGGAGTGTATCCACACACGGCAGGGTCACTAGTGAAAGATGTTTTTGATTTTATCACTGCGTCCTAAACTGACAGGGTTTTGAGCTGGACTGACATCACGTACCACGGGACCTCAGTGTCTTGTTTGTGCTGATCCAGCACGCCTAGATTTGTGGATTTCATAGACCAGGAACTTGAGATAGACAAGTCTGGAGCTAAACTCAAACTTCATATTTGACAGAAAGAGAACTTCTAAATTCCCATAAAAATGCTGTTGTCCCTTTTTCTTGAGGGAGCATGTATTTTTCATGTTCCCTTATGCAGCCTCCAGCCTCAGCTGGGCTGTTGAGAGTCACTGTCACAAGTGTGGTTACTGTTCCTATTAAGTCTCTGGTTCCCAAAACCTGCCTATAATTGGTTTGCTTTTACATCTCTTTTCCTCATAACCTCTTGTTATTTTACTGCATGATTTTGTAGAACATGAGATTTTGGGGGAACACACATGATGTTGTATCAAAAGAACCTGTCTGTCTCAGCAGTGCTATATTGTGGTTCTTTTTATTCTAGAATGTAGATCCTAAGATGACAAAGGACAGTAGCACGTCCCCCACGCTGGTGGGACGTTGCCTGACGGGGGGATGAGACTGTAGGGCAGGGCTGGCTCTTCTGGCGTTCAGTGCGTCTGCTTTCCATCCTCGCTGAGGCCCTGTCCTCTGTCTTTGCCATGCATCTCGTCCCCCAGTTGGACTTCACAGCAAGAAGGGACTCTTCCAGGGGTGGGGAAATTTTATAACTTCGTACTGTGGTTTAATGTGGTTTGCCTGGGCTCCAGGCAGTCGAGGGACACATATATTCTAATATTTATAATCATGCCTTAAACTTCATAATACTTAAATTGTTCCGAGTTGCTTTTAAGGAGAGATTTTTCCCTCTTCCTCCTTTTCCTTTAAAGTAAGCGAGGCTTAACTCCTTAAAACTAACTGTGAAAAATTGAAAACTGCTTGGTTTTTTAATTTGCAATTTGGAAATACTTCTCAATTTTGAGGGGAAAAGAATTTGGTCTTTACTGACTTTTCTTTTTAAATTTATAGCTAAAAAACGGGACCTCTATGACAAGTACGGCAAAGAAGGATTAAACGGTGGAGGTGGAGGTATGTAAATGTTTATTTGTCTCCTTGCCTTGTGGTGATGAGCAGAGGACATCTTGAGGTGGTCTTGAGGAGGGTTGAATCTCTCACTTCTCTGGGACAGAGATGTTTTCAGTAGGTAACAGATTCAGCCCAGAAAGTGGGCTGAACTGGGGGGAGGAAGGAGATCAATAGCATTTAAAAAGCCTGTTAGAAATCTTTTGTTAGACTGGAAAGTGTATGTTGGTGTACTTTTTGTAGGTAAGAAATAATTTAGAACCTTACTGTAATATCATGTTGTGAGTTTGTGCCCCCAGATAGGTACCTGATGTTATGTCAAAATATCCTTAGGGTTTAAAAAACGATTTTACTGAAAAACTGAAATAACTGCCTCTGGTGATGAGGCCTAGATAGGTGTACTTTTGATGAAAAGTCCCTGTAGTGGTCTGTCATCCTGCCGGCTTCCATGGTGGGCATTTGGAAACTAATGCTCCAAAGCCCCCGTGGACAGCTCGGATGAGTAAATGTTTATATGCTTGGTTCACATGAAGTTTCATAACAAAGAATAAAAGTGGTGCGTAATATGAATGTGCCTGTTAGAAATTTAGAGACGGTGAGGTAGTGCTAAGGTGCGATGATGTTGTGAAGTTAGGACTGCTGTAATCTGGGCACATTTTTATCAACTCCACGCACAGATGGTTTCAGTCAAGGCAGGGCCAATGTTTTGAATTTTAGGGCCTCAGGTTTACGAAATATTTTCTTTTTTTAGGTCAGGGTTTATGTAATATTCTGTAGACAAATAATTGTTGGCTACTCAACACAAGAGTTCATAAACTAAAAGCTCTGCTGTCTTTGTGTAGGTGGAAGTCACTTTGACAGTCCGTTTGAGTTTGGCTTCACATTCCGTAACCCAGATGACGTCTTCAGGGAATTTTTTGGTGGAAGGGACCCGTTTTCATTCGAATTCTTTGGTAAGTTTGTTGTCTGGACCCTCGTTTACTGGGTGTGTCCCTGACTCGCACAAAGACTGACAGTGCCTCTGCTGTGTAATTACTGGTGTTACCGTTGTATCTTGTCCTTCAACTTTGTGTTTAAGCAGCGTAGGGGTTGTAAAATCCTTTCTCCTCCTTTTTGAAGATTTTTCTGAATTTATACCTTGCACTTTAAAATAATAAAGATTTTAATGGATTCATTCCCTTCACTCGGTGTGGCCCTAATTACCTTCCTTTGCTATCTCAGACAGTGATAGGGACTGGGATGCTCGGGGCTCAGAAATGCTGTTTCCTGTTGAACACCGAATTGTATGTGAATTTGCTGTGTAATTTTCTGATTAAAAACACCAAGCATCATAGTGCATACATACTGTTCGGAAGACATTTGATTTATAAATGTCTTTTTGTCTTTCTAATTGTGGTATATTACGACTACTGAGTTGACAGTTTCTGGGAGGAAAGTTCACGTGTAGAGCACGGCAGCACTAGTATTCTTGTCCCCAGAGTAACCGTGGTGTTCTAGCTGCTGTTTGACCATGAGAGAAGTCCTGATGCCTAATGTTAGGTTTTCTGCGTGTCTTGGGCCCGGGCAGTGTCGGACTGTTGTTAGAGCGTCCTCTCCAGTGCGGGAACTGTCCGGTGTGCTGGGCAACATGGGGGTTGGGCTTCACTGCTGCTGTAGCCCTTTTGTCTTTTGGCTCCTTGAGGGGAAACACATCCTGTGTGGACTCCCCTTCATTGCCTGGAGCCTGTGGAAGAGCCCGAACACCACATGCAGCCCCGTGGGAGGGGAACAAGAAGAGCACTTCTGTCTACAGATAACATGGGGGAAACCAGTGGACCCCTGCCCATCATAGGCATGAGGAAGAAGTCACTACCATGTCTGGTAGGCATTGGGCCTTTTAAACTGAAGGTGCAGCACTTCAGTTTATTTCAGATGGAGGTCCACAGAGATTTTCCTTATTTTTCTTTTTTTTTTTTTACTATGGGAGGCCTTTTTAAGAAGGTAGCTTTCTGAGGAAGAGAAGGACAGCTGACGTATGTTAGCTTTTTCATAAGCAAATATAACAGTGAAAGCTAAGCAGGGGAATGTTCAACTTGGGGTGGGGAGGGAAGACTGTACGTGGTCTTTTTTGCTTTAATTACTGCTACTGTGAATGTAAACGTGTGTATTGGGGAAGGCTCCCTATAAATGTGATATGAAATGTAATCATACTTAGCTTTTATTAATTGGCGTTCATTTAGGGAATAAATCATATTGTAAGAAAAACAGGAAGAACTTAATGATGATTTGTGTCTTAAAATTACCTTTGTCTCATTACACCCTGTAGCAAACTCCAGATGTGTGTTTTCGGGGAGCAGGGCAGTGTTGGGTGGAATGTTGTGTTTGGATGGCATGAACCTCCTGGTGGCCAAGTGAGGAGGAAGGTCCGGTTTTCTGCCACCCAGGACTTCGGTTCTAGGGTACACAAGGGGTCGGGGTGGCAGAGAAGGGCAGAGCAGACCCACCTTTCTGAGCCTGAGGCCAAGCATCTTAAACTTGCTTTATGTCTTAGGTGATTTTTTTTTAGAGTAAAAAGGAAGAATCCCTTAGTGATTGAATTGTAGCCAGATTTTGTTTTCCTTGGGGAAAAAAAAATCTGATTGGCCAAGGTTCCTCGTTAAAAATGATTTTTCTTGGGGCCTGCTCAGTGGCGCAGCGGTTAAGTGTGCACATTCCGCTTCAGCGGCCCGGCGTTTGCTGGTTTGGATCCCTGGTATGGACATGGTACCACTTGGCACGCCATGCTGTGGTAGGCATCCCACATATAAAGTAGAGGAAGATGGGCACGGATGTTAGCTCAGGGCCAGTCTTCCTCAGCAAAAAGAGGAGGATTGACAGCAGATGTTAGCTCAGGGCTAATCTTCCTCAAAAAGAAAAAAAAAAAAAGATTTTCCTTGAGCAGTTCTTTCTAGAGTAAAGAATGTATAGAGTATAATCAGATGTGAGCTCACAAGTAACATATAGTTTTTACCCATTATAAGCTGTTTAAACCTGCTGACTTTTATGTCTTCTAAATTGTGAGATTTGTGTATAGAAAGAAATCTTTATGTGCATGTGTACTTCACCTGAAACGGTTATAGATTGTGAACATAGGCTCATTTTGGTGGAGGTTTCCTCTGCTGGGCTCAGAGTCCAGCTTGTCAGGTAAGTAGTCTTGCTGTAATTCCTGCTTCCTGGGACCCCTGTTTTAGACACTGAGATGTCATGTCACACTTTAACTGTAGGCGTGTCCCCTGTGTTTCCCGTGATTAGTGTGGCAGTGATGCTTCTTCCATCCATTCTCGTAGGTGTTGTGGGTGACTTCCATTTTCAGGCTCTCAGGGTTTACACGCAGGAGAAGAAGCTGCTCCACGGCTACTACATGTATGAAGTCACGGTGCAGCCTGCTGGCGGTATGTGGAGTGTAGATGGGCGTGAACGCAGGGCTGGGGGACTGCTGCTTTGGCAGTGATTTAGTTGATGTTTATCAGCATCCAAATCCTGTTTACTCAACCCTGTTAGGTCCATTTATGGTGACACATTTTTTATTCTAATTTTTCACATGATCAGCTGTTTTTTACCTCTCCTGTTCTGGCTTCCAAAAAACTAGTTCAGAAGCTGTTAGAAGACGTGCTGAGCTGCACTTTGCATTTATGAGAATATAAAGTCCCGTGTCTGACTTCAGACTCCCCACATGAAAGAGGAGGAACCTAGGGAACCAGTGAGCTGTGGGAAGAGTTGAGGTGTGAAAGCTGTTGGACAGACTGTCAGCAGTTCTGTGCTCGAGGACCAAGCTGTGAGAATTGTCACATTGTGACAGAGAGGACTTGGGCCTGGCGTCTTGCTGATGTTGACTCCTCCTTGCCAGTGGACGGCCTCCCAGGAGAGGTAGTTGAGGCTGGTGCTAAAACCAGCACTGAACACTGGCTCGGAAATGGAGCGGTGCAGGCGAAACTCCTGATGCCAGCTGACTTTGTTTAAATTTCCCCCAAATATGGCATACCCGAAAAGGAGCCCTTGTCAGAACATTAATTGGAAAAATTAACAACGAGGGATTTCATTAATTTGAATTAGGATCATCTGTTCATTTGTTTATTCTTATAGGATACCATTGCTCTGTGAAATGATGTTCTAAGATAGAAAAGTGACGAAGATCAGTCCGTTTTGATCATTAGAGTCATAGCAGGAAATATTCTTTGGAAGAATTGTCTGGGTATGACTTGACATTTTTGCTTACTTGTATTCTCACGTTGGAAAGCCAAAACCAAACTTTAAAACCTGAAATCGTTTCCAGAAAACTTGTTTTTTTAAAGCATATTTTCCCTTCACAATCAATTGTGTAAGCTTAGTGAATGAAAAAATTGAGGTAGCAATAGAGAAGTTTTATGGCATGGAGACCCAGGGAGAGCAGGCTTCTGGAGGGAAGTATAATCCTCTTGAGGAGAGTAGATGGCTAATTGTCTGAGCCCGGGTTAAACGTAATGTAGTGAGTCAGTGATTTTGCTCCCCCAGGGTTCGAGGAGGTGGCGAGTGAGGAGTTGGAGCCTAGTGAAGAGCTAGACCAGCCCTGTTTTGAGGAGACGGTGGAAGACACCCAGAGTGAAGAGAACAGTGAGGTTTTGGATGTGATATCCAGCGAGGAGCTTGATGTCTTTAGTGAAGATGAGGCGAGTGAAGGCTGTAGCCGGGGCCGGGGCGAGCTTCTGAGTGAGGAATTGGAGTTTGTCTCCAGTGAGGACGAGGCGAGCCCGGGGGACGCGGAGGAGCTCAGCGAGGAGTGCGAGGAGCTGCTGAGCGAGGACAGCGGCCCAGAGCTTGAGGCGCTGCTTGGGCAACAGTAACTCTGAAGGACCTGCCCCTCTCTTTCTTGTGAGGAGGCTAACTTACTTAAAGTCTATCTGGAATAAAAAATTTCTGCTACTAGTGCCTTGAGACTGTCCTTGGTCAGATTCCTGTAGCCATCTTGGAGATACCTGAAGAAACAAGAAGGGTGGGGGCCCTGGGAGCTGCAGACCAGCTGTCGCACAGGTTCTCTCTCCCTTTGAAGCCAGTGCTTGAGGCCCTGGAAGCGGGATTTGGGCCTGCAGTAGTGTCCTGGGGCTGCTGTAATGAAGTGCCACAGACTGGGTGGCCTAAATTACAGAGGGACCCTCTCCCAGTTCTGAGGCTGCAATTCTGAGGTCAGCATGTGGGCGGGGCTGGTCCCTGGGAGGGAGCATCCTTCCAGCCTCCCAGCTTCTGGTGGCCTCACACGGTCCTGGACGGATAGGTGTCTTCACATCCTGTCCCCTCTGCGCATGCCTGTCTTGGTCAGTTTCCCCTTTTTGTTTTATAGTGACACTCGTGATGCTGGATTAGGGCCCACCCTGATGACCTCATCTTAACTTGATCGTCTACAAAGACCCTGTTCCCAAACCAGGTCACATCGGCTGGCCCTGGGGGTTAGGGATTCAACATCTGTTGAGGGGGGCACAATTTAACCTATAATGTGGTCTTCCTTACAGAGTTGTCTGTACAGTTGAGAAGCAGCAGATTTTGAAAGGGAAAAGAAGGGGAGACCTTTAAAGTTAGACATGCTAAGAGAAATTAGAAGGTTAGAGTATAGATGCAGAAGTGAGAGCGCCCTGGCCGTTCGGAATAACCGCACGTATGGACCGGAAACCCCACAGCTCGTGCAGTCGGTACAGCGCTGCAGCGGTGCACATCTGTAACAAAGGTGCCTTGATGAATTCAGGAGAAAGCCTCACGCGCTCACCTGCACTTGTGTGATAGGAAAGAAGGCAAGGGATAGGTGGAGAAGGGCATGGCCTAGACTGGTCTCCAGCTAACGTAGCCAAAATTACCAACGTTTTTCATGTAACTTTTAAAAGGACTGCAAAGCCCGTGGTCCGAAACGAGTGAGGGGAGCAGTGCGTGTGGCCACCCCGCTGGCCTCTGCCCGTTTCTGTCACGTTGA